AGTCGTTGACATTACGTAAACCTTCTCGATCGGATTCGCGATCGTTCCCGTCGATCCTCGCCTTCCTTCCTATTTCTTTCCGTTTCGCCGCGTCGCGACACCGCCCCGCGACGATCGGTCCAACGTTTTCAAGAGTTCCTTGAAATTTAACCCTTCGCGAGCGGGCTTATATCTCTACCGAATTAACGCGCGTCGACCGCCGGATTCCGTGGTTCAAATTGCACGAGTATTGCTCGAACATCGTTTCCCGTTGATCGCCTATGACCCATCGAATCGGCCGATCGCGCACGGGAACTAACTAAAAATCGATGAATTCTTATCGATCCGGCGCGAGAGACGGTATCCGGTAGGTCCGAATGCGGCCGCAATTATGCCACCGGTCCTCCGACGGAAGTTGAGAAGCGGTTCCGGAAATGAGAGCTCCGACGTTCCGGCTAAACTCAGTTTCCCTCGACCTTCCTGGGATGTGGGTTAGCGACTAGCGACCAGCGGCTCGGATCGCGTTCCACGACAATTTCGTTCGCTAAAATTTAACCTTCCTCCGCGTTGCTCCATTTTTTTTTCCACTCGGCGGCCTCGGTTTCCGTTCCATCGGTAATTTAGATATTCCATCGCGTATTTTAGATCGATCGTTGGAATCGTTCCGTTCGTTACCGTCTTGCAACTGTTCCAGCATCGTCGATTCGTACGATATGTACATATCGTATGCGCATACGCGTATCGTTGTAAAAATTGATTTCGCGCGTAACTTTCTAGCCGATCGGAACAAAGGTCGGTCCTGACAAATTTCGATCCGTTAAGGTTAAATTGCCTGTTCGGGCAATGTCTTCTTTCGCTCGTACGGTACAATCTTACGACTCGCTGTTCCCTTTCGTTAAGTACCGTCGGCATTGGCCGGTACGCGTAGTCGGTAACGTCTCGATTACTTTAATCGTCGATCGACCGATCGCGTTGCCAGAACATACGAGGACTTTGACCGACTTTGAAGAAACGACGCTCGAACGAATACAACTCGATTGATTTTTACGAAAACCGCGTAAACCGCGTCGACGATGTCGCGATTCAGGACTCGCGATCGTGTCGAGAATCGCTGGACGAATCGTATCGTATCGTTAGAGTCGTCGTCGTCGTCGTCGTCGTCGTCGTCGTCGTCGTCGTCGTCGTCGTCGTCGTCGTCGTCGTCGTCGTCGTCGTCGTCGTCGTCGTCGTCGTCGTCGTCGTCGTCGTCGTCGTCGTCGTCGTCGTCGTCGTCGTCGTCGTCGTCGTCGTCGTCGTCGTCGTCGTCGTCGTCGTCGTCGTCGTCGTCGTCGTCGTCGTCGTCGTCGTCGTCGTCGTCGTCGTCGTCGTCGTCGTCGTCGTCGTCGTCGTCGTCGTCGTCGTCGTCGTCGTCGTCGTCGTCGTCGTCGTCGTCGTCGTCGTCGTCGTCGTCGTCGTCGTCGTCGTCGTCGTCGTCGTCGTCGTCGTCGTCGTCGTCGTCGTCGTCGTCGTCGTCGTCGTCGTCGTCGTCGTCGTCGTCGTCGTCGTCGTCGTCGTCGTCGTCGTCGTCGTCGTCGTCGTCGTCGTCGTCGTCGTCGTCGTCGTCGTCGTCGTCGTCGTCGTCGTCGTCGTCGTCGTCGTCGTCGTCGTCGTCGTCGTCGTCGTCGTCGTCGTCGTCGTCGTCGTCGTCGTCGTCGTCGCGCGAACTCTTACACGAGCGATTTCCATCGATCGACCCAGTGTCCATGAAACGGTATTCCAGTTTGTTCACCCGTTTCAGGGTTTCGCGGCGTAAAAGAGAAATCCTTCGTTTATTAACATTCACTTCTGCGGTTTATTTTCCCGAGTATGCGAAAAACTCGACCACGGAACGATCGTGCACCGGCGCGGCCACGGCGTGGCCACGGCGCGGCGCGACCGCGTACACCTTTCTCCGAACGCGATACCGTGCAGTTTCAGCGGCGATCGGGCCGGGTCGAACCGGGTCCGGTTCGAATCGCTTCGAACAAGTGGGTAAAATCCGCGCGCATTCCACTCGCGATGATTTCCCTTCGAGCCGACCGACGCGATACGGGCCGCGGGATTATTTTTCTATTCTAGAAATCGCGGCGGAACTCGCATCTGCTTCGAACGAACGATTCCCATTCGTTCTCGCGCCGCGATCTCGATCGTTGGCTGCGACAAATTCGATCGACGTTCCTCGGTCGGCCATCGATTTCGAACGATCGGTTTCCACGGTTTTCCGGATGCGGCATCCTTGTCCAAGGTTACGCAAAAACTTGCCCAACGATGGACCAAATCGATGGACCGCGTCGATCGTACGAACGCGCAGAGGTATCTTTCTCGATAATTTGTCAGCGAGAGTATATCTCGTTTCGAGGAATATTTAATCGGTTCGGGCAAGCGAAACGGACTTTCTACGAGGACAGAGGACGAAATCGTCCGATTATTCGAAAAGTAGTTCGCCGACCGGCGTTAGATTTCTTATACGATATCGTAATCGACGTCGCTCGTATCGTTCGCGACTTTCTCCGCGAACGAGAATCGATCGAGCGAAAAGAAACGGTAAGAGATCCAAATTCGAGAAACAACGGTGCCCGTCCTCGTAGCTGTTCGCATCGACCGAATCGCGGTTCTCGAACGCTGTTACGGAAACTCGACGCGAACGAAACGCTGCGTTGGTTTTCGAAAGATTCGTTGAACGCAACGAATTCGTTCGACGCAATATATTTCGCTTCGCCGCGATTCGATGCGCGCGTATTCGTATTTTCGGACGAGTCTCCGAACGGAAGGTCCTTCTCGTTGTCGGATGGGCAAGGGTAAGGACACGGCCGTCGAACCACACACGGCCGTGCAGCGAAATAGAAGAATCGAGACAGGAGAACGCTACACAGTTCGATGGTCATGGCGAGCGGACAACTGGGCGAGCGAACCAGTACCGCCACGCTCGTTGGACTCCGCGCGAGGAAATTGTAGAAATTTCTTTGCAACAGTTGCCGGATAAGACGAAATTATCGTAGTCTATTTCTTCCATAGCACGTTGCTCCGTCGAATAGGAATACTCGCGCGAAGAATCGCGGTCCGATCGTTGCGCGAGCCAAGGTAACGCGCGCGCGCGCGCGACCGAACGCTGCGTCGGTAAACCGACGATCGTAAAACGGCGTAGCGCGACGGTCGTGGACACGGACGAAGGAATCGAATATGTTTCAACGGGAGCGCGAGCATACCGTTCGAAGCGTTCCGAAGCATCCGTATCGCGAAGCAAAACGCGTTAACTGTAAAGCGTAAAGTCTCGACGTCGGCTGTACGATACGAAGAGCACACCGTATATATCGGCCTCGTGCGGTACAAGGTTCAAGGTCGGCCAGTATAAGCCGAAGACGATATCCATGACGCGCGCGCGCGCGCGTAGGAGCATTCACCCTTTGAAACTCGCTGCTATAATAACTATGCTCGTCCCAGGTGCAACAGAGTCGTCCGGAGTATATTCCATGGGCCGGTGCTCGCCGATGGGAAGGCGAGCACGCGCGCGCGTTGGCGCGCAGCGCGCGAGCACGCGGGCACGCGCACCCGCGAAGATCGAGGATCGACGATCTTCTCGCGATCGGACAAAGTCGACCGGTTACGCGTGCACGCGTGTGCGCGTATCGGCCCTCTTCTTTCTCCGAAGCGCGGCCGAAGCGCGGCCGAAGCGCGGCCGAAGCCTGTCCCGACGACGGCGACCAACGTTTTTCCTGCAACGCGGGCAAAATTGTGCCGGTGATCGATCCACCCGTACGGTCGGTCCTTTCCGCGAGACAACCCGCGCAGCCAGGAACGTCGATGATTTACCGTCGAGAGGATCTCTACGCGTTCGCGAGAAACCGAGGTTTCGAGCGCGCGGCTTACGGTTCGTTTCGAGTCGAGGTCGACGAACACTCTGGCCGCGCTCTCGATGCCGCCATTTTTCCAAAATAGTTTCTCAACGATTACTCGCAGCCTTTTCTCGGGCTGTTCTCTCGCTGATCGCGTCGTCTTCGTTTCGCGCACACCCGGTGATCCGCGAGTACGCGAACGCTCGCCATTTTCAACGAACGAGAGATCCGCGATACGAATTTATGTTACGAAACGACGCGTGTCGGGAAATTCTATTTCGGTTATAATATTCCCGAACATCCGGTTATATTCGATCCGGCATCGAATCGAGCGATTCGTTCGTTTGGGTTGAACGCGAGATCGCATTTTTGTGTCCGTCGTTCCGCGATTCTTCGACCGATGGCAATGATACGAGAATCTCGATCCATCGATCCGGAACGTTCCAAATACATGGTTGTTCGAATCGAGCGCGTCATTTTTATGCCAACACGGATCCTGCCGATCGGTGGTTACGATTAGCCTGCGCGAACATCTTCTACTCGCGTATTTTATTTCTACACGTTGTATACTTTACTTTTTAGTTTAGCACGAAATTTAATGATCGACGATAAGTTGCGTACCGTGCTCGACCGTTGCAACGTCCTAATTTTGTCATTTCATCGAATCGTAAATAGGAGAGCGCGCGGTCCGAAGAAAAATCAGTTTGGATCGGCTTATTTCGAGAGGACAAAATACCGTCAACATCTAAATAAATAAACGTTCGTTACGTTCGGAAACGTAAAACGTGTTCGATATACGTCGATTCCGGCGAGCCAAAGTCGGGGAGGTAAAACCGTATTTCCAGGGTTAGCGCGTTATCGATCTTTGAAAATATTTCCGAATTACAGATATCCGAAGATCCGTGGATCGGACACCGTTGGCGCACCGTGCACACTCGATTACGGTAATCGTCGATTTCTGTCGTAAAAGCTGACGGAAAGAGCGACGCTCGTTACCCCGATCGATCGCGCGGTGTACCATTTTATTATACAGTTGCGAGCAAGGATACCTGTCCGGCTACCGAGACGTCGAAACGAACCGAACCGTCTCGCGCCTCGAAACGATCGCTCGAAGACGACGCGCGACCGAGCAAGATCGTCGATCCGACGTCGAAAGAGAGAATTACTTACTCATATTTGCGATAGTTCTTTCAGAGCCAGTTCGTGGTAGCCATGCCGCGTTCCGACAACGAAACTCGCTGTCGGCTGGAAACGGAGACGTATCGCGGCACGGTTAAAGGCACCAGACGACCGAAAACACGATTCGCTTTGTTCCGTTCGTTTCCCGATGATAGTTTCGACGTGTGTCGCGTACGAAAGGAACGAGGAATGCGTTCGACTCGCGGTCGAGTCGGTCGCGCGGTGCCCACCTGTTGTTCCTACCGGCGGAAACGAAAAACTGAAAGCGAGAAGCACGGCCCGGCCCGGCCCGGTCGGTGGCCGGTCGCGCGAACACTTTGAAAAATTCTCTGGAGATTATAGGATCGAGGAGATCGACCGAGGAGTCGACGGCACCTTCAGAACTGGCAACGAAACCGTTAACTTGCTCTCGATGGCATCGACATCACGGACTCGGACTAGACTGCAAGAATTCGCTGGCGTTCGACCCCCTCTAGAATCCCGGCCTGTCCAACCCGTCCCGTCCCGTCCCGTCCCGTCCCGTTCCGTCTCGTCCCGTCTCGTCTCGTCTCGTCTCGTCTCGTCTGTTTTGGTCTCTCGCCCCTATGCAAGTCGTGGCAGGGAGGATACCGGACGAAGCATCGCCGATCGTTCCTTCGACCGCGAACCAGCGGATCGGTGCCGCGATTTTCGGACCGATCCGCGGTGAAACGGGAGAGAGAGAGAGAGAGAGAGAGAGAGAGAGAGAGAGAGAGAGAGAGAGAGAACCCGTACCTTTTACAACATCGAGCATCTTTTTATTCTTCCGGGTTCAAATTGGAAACTTATCGATTCGAAATCCTCTTATAATTTGTCGTTCGACGTCTCGCTGCATCGACAACGCGTAACGACGAGATAGACTCGCGAGTAGAAATTTTGTCGGGTTCGATGACAAAAATATGTTGACATTGGAGCGGTTCAGAGACCGTTCGATTCTACCCGATTAACTTGTAATCGCTTCAGCGCGGTCTCGGAAACCGCAACCTACACCGCGAAAAAGTTCTATCTCTCGGCTCGTCGTATTTGTCGTTGCGCGAAAGTATTTCGACAACGACGCTCTCGTTAGCGGTCGCTTTAAATCGAAAGTACCAGCGTTTACCGTAAAAGCGTCGAGACAATCGAGAACTTTGCTCCAAGTTCGATCAAAATGTTTCGACGTTAAATTTCACGTTGATCGCTTATTCTTAATCGAATCGTGTATCGTAATCGTCTTAATAAATTTAAGAATGCGCAAAGTTCGAGCACACGAGGTAATTTTGATACGAGTTTACAAATGTTTCGATCGTTGCGAACAAATCGAATCCTGGAATCTATCTTTTCGACTCTCGATCGATACTCTTTAAACGTTTATGATCGTTTGGACAATTTTTTTTCTATTTCAGAGTTGGTCCAGGATTTCCGGACACCGTGAGAAGTTGCATACTGCATCAGAAGCTGCAGGTACAACCTTCTTATATACCACTTGCTGCTATATTATATGTATACGCTGAAAACTTTTAACGCTCGGACAGCAGAGTTTGGGGTCCGTTCGAACCCCGACTGTAAAGTATTTTTTTAGTCGACCGTCCAGTGGCTGACAACGACGATCGATCGAAATTTTCACGCGTTCCATCAAGGACTACGCACAGTCTACGCACAGCGTACTCCTGATGCGTGCTCGATCGTATTTTTCACACCTATCGTTTATTTTCATCGCAGATGATGAATTGCTGCATCGAAAAGAAAAAGGCTAGGGAGGAATCGGCGCATAAATTTCACAGCCTAGACACCGATGATTTCGAGACAGGTATCGCATCGAATTTATTATACACGCGTATCGTCGGCGGATCGATCCGCTACAACGTATTTAGATCGTATTTAGATTCTTTGTACCGTGTAATGCGCGTAATAGGAATCCGTTGACTTTGCTCTAAACTTTAGTTACCAGAATCGTAACGTTCGCCCGGTTGTAACGACACGCCGCGCCGCTGCTGTGCACCGACTGCACTGGTCAGGGGGCGTGGCCCTCGTGGCATCGATGTTGCGCGCAGTCTTGTTCCGAGCCCGCGATCGAGCGATCGCTGCGACCCACGGCATACCCACCTATCCTTCTTATACAGTTTTTTCAATTCTGTTTTCTATTTTCTTTCAAATTCTTCCACGTATCCTCGATACACCTTTATCGATCGATTCTTCCATGGCGTCGAACCGCTTTCGACGATATTTAAATCCGGGAATTTTACCGACCATGCTAACCCCGATACCTATAGTTTCATTTTCGAAACAAGTTCTTGTCGTTTTTGCAACAAGCACGGCTGTGCTCGATGTTAAAACGACTACGTACGAATCTATCTACGATCTACGCGACACGATGCTCGCCTTTCCTTTGGCTTTAGCCGAGTCGGAAGAAGAGGAGTTTTTCGAGTGTACCAGCGAGGAACCAACGAACGAGGATGATTCGACGACGAGGATGCAAACGAAAGCAAAGTATCTGTTGTGGAATAAACCCGCGGGCAGATCGGCCAAACATCCTACCCTCAAGTAAACGCTACAGCGTCGTTTCTCTTTCGTTGTATTTTTCGTGAAAATTTCTCGGCGACGCGCAAACGTTTCTTCCTTTTTCTCTTCAGACTGATCCAAACCGGAGATTACCTTTATTTGCCGATCACGCAAGATCCTGTTCCTAAAACGGAGGATCAGGTCGAGGAAGATGCCCAAGTAATGATGCAACTTGGAACCGATAAATACGCTTCGGAAATGCGAGCGAGGCTGATGAGCGCTTCGCTTCTGTCCGACATGGAATCTTTTAAGGTCCTTAGAACTTGTATGTCGAGTTTCCTTGGTAATTCGCATGTATGCGCGTCGAAAATTTCATTAAAAATCGGTTTGCCGCGAAGACGAGCGCGCGCAACCACTGAAACATAGAAAAATCTCCATAGTCGATCTCTTACAGTTATCGGTCAAATGTCAAAAGTCAAAAGTCGAAAGTCGTGATTTTCACGATTTTTAATTGCTCGTAGCTCGTAACGGTACAAACCGGTCTCTCGCACCGAGATTAAATTTTCGTTCTACGCTCGGATAAAAAAGTTGAAAAACTCATTTTTTTCTCCTTTTTTTCCAACTCTTTTTATGCCAACCAATTGCAATTTTTCTAAACGTTCGTTCGGACATCGCGTGGTAAACCAGTCTCTCCGACAACTCGAAAAGTTAGCAAAGTTTCAACAAAACTGATCGACACGGAAGTACCAAATCTCCTTGTTCCAACGATAGAAACGATCCGATTCAACCGTGATTTTTCGAACATAGGCAGCGAATCCTGGAGCTGTATTGGAGGACTTCATTCGTTGGTATTCTCCAAGGGACTGGATCGAAGATGGCGGGACCAACAATTGGGGTCAAGCTACAGGTTATATTTCGACCGTCTTTGTACCGAAAAATACGCCGAAAAAAACCGATCGCTCTTTCCGTTTTATAAAATACTAATTGTACCCGTCCCGATCCAGGACACTTATCTCCCAGAATGTTGATACCTAATAATCCTTGGACGTCGACGTGGAGTTCGGCGCAACCTGTCCCTGCGCATCGGCAAAAAAGATTGTTCGACGACACTAGAGAGGCGGAAAAAGCGTTATACTTCCTGAGCTCGAAACGGCTGGGTCAAGTCGCGCAGCTTCTTTTGCCAACGTTAACTCACGCTGCGCTCTATACGCTCGGTCAACAGAAGCAAGATGCTCTGCCGAATTTACCGGAGGTCACGCACAACATACTCAACAAACTGCAGTACGCTACGAAGCCTATCCACCAGAAGCTACACATATACGAGGTGAATTCTGAAAGCGATCGAGGACGATGCTAGAAAGTGGCCAATTTTCATCCTAGAATTTTCTCAACCGATCGAAACGAACCGCGAAAACTATTCCAACTTTCTACGTACGATAACTGAAAATTATTTCGATGTAACAGGAAATCATCCGAGATATAGAAGGTGTGGAAGCTTTGGTTGCCCAAGTTAATTCCCTGCAACGCAAGTTAGGAGGAAACGACGAGTCCAAAGAATTTACATCGTTTCTCGTTCAGCTGATGCGCGGAAAGGAAGTTGAGGTACCGGATGGCTCTAGAGGAGACATTGGCTCGCGAATAAGCACCATGTTCAGAGAAGCTCAAAAGGTGATCAAATTTCCGTGTTTTTCGGTCTCTGGTTCGAATTTATCGATAACGATGACTCGCATGTTCCAGGCTGCTTTGGCGATGACCTCCGTTAACAGCAATATAGAAATGGATGGACTTGCAGATGGTAAATTGAAAACATTTCCCGAACCCTCGTGTAAAGAGTTCATTTTACGAATTGTGACACCGAGACCGTCACCGACCTCGACACCGCAACCGCAAAGAATGTACGCGTGCCTCAAACGAGACTACATCCGGTTGGCAGGCTTCTTTTCCGAGGATACAATATTCTTATAGTCTACATTCTAAGTTTCGTTCGACACCATATACACCATATACATGGTTATCGATGCGGTATCCTATCTGTTTCGATGAACTTTTTATTCTTCAGTTTTCTTCATTTTCTTCAATAAAATATATTTATACGTAAAACAGCGATATGCGTAAACAAAAATACCGGTGAACAGAGGTGTGAAGATTAATTGCAATTAATTTTCAGTTTTTTCACAATATATTTATATATATATATATATATACAGGGTGTCCCACAATTATTTTAACAGCCGAAAATGAGGGGTAGCTGAGGTCATTTGAAGTAACTTTTTCCTTTGCGAAAATGCAATCCGCGGCTTCGTTTGCAAGTTATTAACGAAAAACACTGGCCAATGAGACGAATTGGCGCGAACCATATGGTTATCGATCGGCCGAGCGGCACGTGCGTTTACCGCTGAGTTTGACAGTTGAAGGATGGTCTGTGTGCGGCGTCCGAATCAATGAACAAGTCACAGAGCATGAACTTTTGATTTTTTTTTTACCACGTGACAGTGATAATTTCAAGAAAAACGCTATTCATCCTTATTTCAGAATGTCTGAAGAATGTTTACTAAATTTTCGGTCCCGAAATAATATGTAGTTTAACCGTGACAACCGTTTTAATTTTCTCACGTGTACCGTATGAAATTTGTATGCGATATGTACAGTGAAGATTAACAATAAGCAACCCAGTCGAAGTACATAAATGATATTTGAATTTAAATAATTCCGTGTCCGAACAGAATTCAACGAACGATGCGCAAAGCTAATTTAATAAATAATAATCGCGTTAAAGGACATAAGGGATATGTTTGTTAGAGAAATATGAAGAATATTATCAATAAGAAACTCACCCATTTAGTTGTAAATCCACTTCATGTATCCGACGGCGACGAACAGAAGGATGTCTTCGGGCAGGCAATTTCAACGTTTACTTTCACTGCACTATCACTAAACACTGATCACTTATCAATAATATTTATGGACGAACTTTCCTGGGTTAATATGTATAGCTCTGAAAAGAGCCGATTTTTTTATGCGACGCGTTCGAAGTTCTCACTGTTAACGACACGTATGTACCGCGTTGTCGAGATGAACTGCAGAAGACTGGCACGATGGCCAACAGTGTTTCGTTTTCCTACGAGCGAATTTCAACTGTTTCCCATCGAACGCGAACATTGTCAGCCATCGTGCTAGTCTTCCGCAGTTCATCTCGTCAACGCGGTATGTGTTCTTAACGATATGAATTTCGAACGCCTCGCATAAAACAATCGGCTCTTTTCAGGGCCATACATATTAACCCAGTAAAAAGTTGGTCCATAAATATTATTGATAAGCGATCAGTGTTTACTGATAATGCAGTGAAAGTAAACGTTGAAATTGCCTGCCCGGAGATATCCTTCTGTTCGTCGCCGTCGGATACAGATCAGCTGCGCAGTTCATCATACATTGTACGAGGTCAATGCACTATCCTCCTGCACACATTTCCGTGCATGAAGTGGATTTACAACTAAATGGGTGAGTTTCTTATTGATAATATTCTTCATATTTCTCTAACAAACATATCCCTTATGTCCTTTAACGCGATTATTATTTATTAAATTAGCTTTGCGCATCGTTCGTTGAATTCTGTTCGGACACGGAATTATTTAAATTCAAATATCATTTATGTACTTCGACTGGGTTGCTTATTGTTAATCTTCACTGTACATATCGCATACAAATTTCATACGGTACACGTGAGAAAATTAAAACGGTTGTCACGGTTAAACTACATATTATTTCGGGACCGAAAATTTAGTAAACATTCTTCAGACATTCTGAAATAAGGATGAATAGCGTTTTTCTTGAAATTATCACTGTCACGTGGTAAAAAAAAAAATCAAAAGTTCATGCTCTGTGACTTGTTCATTGATTCGGACGCCGCACACAGACCCTCCTTCAACTGTCAAACTCAGCGGTAAACGCACGTGCCGCTCGGCCGATCGATAACCATATGGTTCGCGCCAATTCGTCTCATTGGCCAGTGTTTTTCGTTAATAACTTGCAAACGAAGCCGCGGATTGCATTTTCGCAAAGGAAAAAGTTACTTCAAATGACCTCAGCCCCCTCATATTTTCGGCTGTTAAAATAATTGTGGGACACCCTGTATATATATATATATATATATGTGTGTGTGTGTATATATTCGCCAATTTTTAATCGAACCGAGAAGAAACTTATACCGGTAACAAAATTTAATACGAAAACTTTTCTCGGAATATATTTGTTTTCCTCTTACGGTTAATCATTTTCTTTACGCTGTCTTTTCCACTTGTATACCGATTTTCGTCTTGTTCTTCTTTAAATGTATGTTGTTTTTACCGTTTCCGAGAATCGTTTAAAATGCACTAATAACAATTTTTACCGTATGCGAATCACAGTCAGCGTCTAATTCACGCGGCAATGTTTTATTTATGTTTTATTATTCTAGGAGTCAACATTTCATTATTTACACGCCTCTGTAATGGAACAAAATTAGTAAGGAATTTTTTTGTGCGAACGTCGTGCCGTACGATACGAATCTGGCTATTTTTTACTTACTTTTTATTCATTTAAATATCACAAATTGTGTAATAACGTGCGAAGTATTGGATATAAATATTCTTTATAGAAAATAAAGGGGTACAAATAATCGTCGGACAATATCTTAAGATAACTGGATCAACTGTTACGAATCGCCCAATAGAAATATCCTTTTCTCAAGCTTTGGCGGCAAGAACAAGTAGTCTCGAACGATCTGATCCAATTCTTCCAGAGACAACTGTGCGTGCAAACGCAAAACTGGATCTTCGTCGTTGTCTCGTAAATGTTTTAGACCGCGATACAAATCGACCAAATCCTTTCCAAGATCTGTTAACGTATCTTTTCCAAGACCGCGGAGCAACAACGTACTAACCATAACTGCGGCTCGTCGACATTCGGCAGCTTTATCCGTTTTTATTATGCAACTTATACAATAAATCACCTGAAATCGCATATATAAAACACATTCGAGTCTGATTAATTTCAAACAAGTTGGATATCTGAGAAATAATAAATATACCTCGGTAATAATATTTCCAAGTCGAAAACCCAATACTTTGCATAATTCCCCTAAACAGGAAAGACTAGACGCACGCACCAAGGAATCGGAATCTCGCGTTGCACACAAAAATCCATTTATTAGAATATTTTTGTATGCTGTTGCCATTTCACCTATCGAAATACAGGAATTTATTGAAAATGACATAAAAGTGCATGCGTATCAAATCCCTAGGGGGAGGGGTACTTTACTTTCAGTTTATCAACGTTTAATTAATAATAGTAACTGTATTCATGGTGGTATATTTAATAAGATTATGTACGAATCGAACCAATTATCGAATACGTACCTAATCCTCGAGTTACTTTAACAAGTATTTCTCCTAGTTTAGTTCTCGTTTCCACAGCAATTTCATCCGTTGAAGTACGCTGTGGCATGTCAATGTACTCGTGCACTAATGTTTCAATAACAACTTGCGGATACGAAGTAGCCAGAGCACACAGCCCATTAACGGCTGCCAGATATATAAACGAGTCTTCGTGTTTCAAACTTTCCTGAAACAAAAAAGATGTACGATACGACGGGACCTCTGCATCGTTAAAATTTGGAAATTATACGAATCGATTACATTTACGAACTTTAAATATTTCAAGGACCACCGTTTGTCTGGCTATAGCACAAGGATCCTTGGTTTCTATCAGTTTCGTAAGAATCATAAGACCATGCGCTCGTACTGGAAGTAAGGGGTCGGTGAGATCTTTAAGCGCCTCCTCGAATTTTTTAGTCGTCTTACATTCAATTGATAGATCTTGATAATTTTTTCTTTCCGGTTGACCTTGACTTTCGATGAGTTCAACGAGTTCTTTGATCAACAATAGCAATTGCATCGGCATGTTCGAAACGGTGCAACATTCTTCCAAAAATAATTTAAATTCATTAAATGCTGGCAAATTTAGAGCTCTTTTTCTTTCGCTCAAAATTATTTTTATCAACATCAAACTGACATACAGAATCTCACAATCATCATTTGCCGGCAACATTTGCCTTTCCTTGTTATATTCAATAAACAGTGATTTTATAAATGAAAACATTGGCTCTGGATTTTCTATTTGTGCTTCTTGCACAGCAGACATATTAGATAAACTTGATAAAAGTTTCACAGATACCAACTGATTTTGAAGTTTTTCAAATGTATCATTTTCTGTTTCTAGTAAATCGCGAGTTCCTTCCTTACATTCTAGTTTCATTAAATTTGATAAAAATTCTAACAAATATAAAAATAGCGCAGTCGACAATTCATCGCTAGTTGATGTTAAATCTAGCAAACTATCTGCAAATCGTTCATAATTTAAAGCCTCCTCCATTCCGATAATTTCAATTCCACCTGTTGGTCCAAACCTTGATGCTATACGATGTCCAAAATGTTGAATTAATTTATGTCCAAGAATCTCGGCAAAAAGCTGATTCTTTTGCGGCTCTTCGTGTAAAATTCTCAATAGGAGCTGTTTAATCTTAGATTTTAATATACAAGCGCTTAATCTGATATCGTTGTATATGCAAAATAGTGGAATAACTATTTTTCCTAAAACTTTACAAGGTAAATGTTTAAATTTTGCTTCTGTTATTATAAAACACTTCGTCAAATTCTCTATACATCCCTCTACTTCTTTCTCACTTATATTTATATTTTGTTCCATCTTAGATGGATGTATAATCAAGGGATTACATATTTTATCTATAATACTTTTAACGCATACGTCAGGATTGTTGTTGTAAAGCGCTTTAATACAACAGTTTGCTATTGTTGACGAATGATTTAGTTGTTTGCTCGCTAAGATTTCTAGAATCTGAAATAATTAAATAATTTTTATCAAGTTTACGTAGTATTTGCACAATTGTTGTACAGGGCGTCCCATAGTTAACTAGCGTATGTCGTGCAATCCGACCGTGCAACCTTCCCGCGATGTACATCAGGTAACGCTAATGCCGGCGGCACATTAAATTAAAAAGTTTGTATCTCGGAAAGGAGTTACGCAAAAATTACATTCAAGTAGTGTTTCGAAAACGCCTCGATGTCATCTACAACAATATGTAATAAAAATATTCAAATTCTAATTTAATAATTCAAAGTTAACCCTCGATAACCATGCAACTTTTGTCCGAGACAGTTTTTCATATCATTCATACTTTTCGAGATATTTGCCCTAGGAGATTAAAATGTGACACCCTGTTGTACGTTGCCACAAAATGCTTGTAAAATGTACTTGTGGGCATATAGCACCGTAGTAGTCGTCAGGATTTTCTCCATGCGAGGTAGTTATTAATCTGGAAACAGTATCCAATTTATTCCAATCTTCCCCAACGTCCAATGTATCCTCGCATATAGCAGCTATGATCGAAACAACTCCATTAGGCTGCATAATTTGTCGAATTAGATGTTTACGAGTTTCTCTCTGAAGCCATTTTGGAGCTCCTTTAATACCAAGAATTACCATCAAGTTTTTCATACTTGTTGACACGGGACAAAGATTTAATAACCGATGTAGTAAAGAAACAAATTTTTCTTGATCTTCTTTTAGCTTTTCATATAGATCTGTTGTCATTTTGAATGTCCCATTATTTTCATTTGTATCGTTTGGCTTTACCAACGGAGCATATCCTAATTGTAGAAGTGCCGCAAGTAATGGACCTATTTGAGCTATTATTGCCGGGCGAAACGTAATTTCATTGCACAGATCCATAAGAGAAGAAACCGTGAAAGTTTGTATTCTGTACCTCTGAAATAAAGAAACATAATCATTTTGTTACATTTATGAATTTTATAGACTTATGAATTCATGACATTTTATAGCATTTTTATACTTGTACGGCTGTCGTATCCTTTTTGCATATCTGCAAAGCTCTAGGACATAATTTAGCCATATCGAGTCCAACACCTGGTAAAAGACCAGGTATGATTCCCATTGCAGTTACCAACTCTATGGCAACTTTTAGATCATGAAACTGCTGAACGCTTAAGAAAGATTCATTGTTCTCGCTTATGGATGTTTTCAATTTTTGTAATATATACACAATTGTGCGTACATACTGATATCTAAAAACTATAAAAATGTCAATGTTGATATTAACTACCAACAATATGTATTATCACATTTGCTGCCTATGAGGATGGAATAATTGTTTTTACCAGTAAATAATGGGTTTCCTACTAAACGACCATTTCATTGATATACAGATTACAAAAATAAATGTAATACCTAAGATTGTCTATGGTACAACATGTTAATAAGTAATATTTAACATTGTTAAGGTCTACCGATTATAAAGAGAAGCCAAATTTCAAAATTCGCTTCATTATTTTCTTACATACGATAACCATCCTGTTAAATTTGATGCAATGTGTACAAACAATCGCAAATTCTTATACAAATCTAAACTCATGTTAGAAGTTTTTGTGATCTAATAAATATTTATTTTGCTATATTCTTCAAGTTTCTTCAAAGAACAACAAGTAATTCCAACCTCAGAGGGTCAAATACAAGCAATTATTATATACTACCTGATATCTTGAGATTCGTTCTCATTTTCATTATCTTCTGTCATAAATTGTTTGTCAACATTTTCGAAATTTAACTGTAGTTTTTGCAAAATTCGTTGTAAACTGTCGTCGAAGTTTTCAATTTCTTCTGTAAGAAAAGCATTTATGGAATCGTTTTAAAGATAATCTACAAATATAGTTACTTTATATATAAAAATGTATTGATACCATTGCTTGTATTTTTTTCGACGATTATTAGACAATGTAACATTTCATGATAGTCCATCATTTTTATTATACACTTGTCTTTCAATTCGAGAAAAATATTATGTATATATTGTCCTGTTCATGCATCGTTACAACACGAGTTTATATTATGTGCATACACATATGTGTATGTGTATGTACATACATACTGTTAGTGCCATGCTCTAATATGTATATCAGAGATTGATCTCGATAGATCTTTTTGGGGATTTTAAAAGGAAAAAGCGGGTTCACATTTATCAAGTATTATAGCGGCTGCGCAATGGCTATGTTGTTTCATGATTAGTGATGCAAGTTTGAATGTCAATGTATGTACACCTATATGATCGTATTATTCCTAGTAAATTTTTCACTGCCATCTGAACTAGCTGCAATCTTGAACCAACTAAAATTCAATATGGCAGTTTAGAAGCGGTAGTTCAAATTTTGGATTCTAGGGCCAGAATGTGTTAAGCATGTATTAAGTATATTTTTTTTTTTTTTTTTTTTTCAAAAATAGTTATGTACACCATCATACAAACTAAAACCTTTATTTCATGACACTCTGGATAGCATACAGATTGTAAAAACTGCATATTGAATGTTTATTCCACGAAGAAAGTTGTCTCGAGCACTGCATGACGATTGTACTGATCTTGAATGTCTCTTCGTACAAATATATTCCCATAAATTTACGTTATTATTCAAATAATTTTACGCTGTCTGCTCTAATAATTTATTCGAATAAATAGATAAAATAATCTGACAAGTGGAATATCGCATCAAGTGTTTCAGATGGAGCTCCAGGCCCGTTGTCCCTGTGGTTTCATGTTCACGTCTTCATGAGTTGGAGGCACTGAACTGCACAAACGAAGGCGAGTCCTCTGTGATTGAATTATAAAGNTTTAGAAGCGGTAGTTCAAATTTTGGATTCTAGGGCCAGAATGTATTAAGCATGTATTAAGTATATTTTTTTTTTTTTTTTTTTTTCAAAAATAGTTATGTACACCATCATACAAACTAAAACCTTTATTTCATGACACTCTGGATAGCATACAGATTGTAAAAACTGCATATTGAATGTTTATTCCACGAAGAAAGTTGTCTCGAGCACTGCATGACGATTGTACTGATCTTGAATGTCTCTTCGTACAAATATATTCCCATAAATTTACGTTATTATTCAAATAATTTTACGCTGTCTGCTCTAATAATTTATTCGAATAAATAGATAAAATAATCTGACAAGTGGAATATCGCATCAAGTGTTTCAGATGGAGCTCCAGGCCCGTTGTCCCTGTGGTTTCATGTTCACGTCTTCATGAGTTGGAGGCACTGAACTGCACAAACGAAGGCGAGTCCTCTGTGATTGAATTATAAAGCTACAAACATTTGCATTTGAAAACTTGCATGAAAACATGAGCAAACATGAGTATATCAAGCAGGATTCTTTATAATAAAATTACAAGCCTAAGTTCAGAACTTTTGAACAACATTTCGCCGGACATATTGAATAAATGTTGTGAACAATCAACACAACCGTTTTTAAAATGGTTTAACAAAAATGTGAATTGCATGAATGTTCTTTCAAACGAAGAGGTGCAAATGTAACGTATAAATTATTCATTTTCTTTATATATGTCTTCAATTTCTTAAATATTCCAAGTCAAGTGTTCCTTCTGTGTGTTTAATGTTTTAGAAAAAATATATTACAAACGACAAATGATTGGTTGGATGGTTTTGAATTAGATTGTGAATTAGAAGAGGCAACCAAAAATTACCCTGATTTATTAAAAATTATTACTTTTGATGATACAGATGTAAACGACCTGTTTGCAGAATTTGAAATAATTAACAATTCACACAATGAAGATGAAAATTATATTCTTACATTACAAAATGGAATTGAAAGTTTAAAGTAATATTTTCAATACATTTTCATTTAAAACTAATACTTCCCATTATCGTGTTTAATTCAAATATTCCTATATAGAAAGGTAACGACAGAACTGGACGATGAAATAGAAAAAAAATCTGAACTGTTGAACAGAGAATATATTGCAGATGAAAAAGCTTATAAAGATTGTTCTATGATTTTAGATGATTTTGATGTAATTAATCACGATTTCTTTAGACAAGTTGAATGTCTCTCGAATCAATATGCAAATGCGGCTGAAAATGTAGGTAACCAAAGTCAACTTTCTCTCGGTTCATTAAAATACAATTATCTTATTTGTAGAAAGGAATACCGTCAGTATGGACCCAAATGCCTTTGGATCTTTTTAGTAAAAATATAACGCTATATCATCATTACTTAGGCATTTATATAAAAGAACAATTTGGAGATGTTTTTAAAGAAGAACAGAAAAAAGATTCAAATTATGGTTCTTTAAGCGACGAGAGTCAAGAAGTACATATAAATAATGAGAAATTACAAGAATTAATGTTGTGCAAAACAAAGTAACTTTTATTTTTCATAATAATTATCGAATGAAATATGTATTACATACATTCATTTATAAAGAACACTGTTATTTATTTTACAGTTTCACCAATGTCAAGGTAGAAGAAGTTTTAGCTAAAATAAAACCAGAATCATATATTGCAATGTTAGAATATGCACGAAAGATATACAATAATGGAAATTTAAAAGTGCCCAACCCTTCTGAATTAAGGTAATCGGATGTCAAGGTTAAATACCACAAGATGTTGTAATATATCGAGTATGTCTAAATAATACTTTAATGTGTAATTAGATCAGAAATTTTGAAACTGACTGCAAAGAGAGATTTATTGGAAGAAAGTGTATCGCTACAAGAACATCAATTGATAGAAGTCATACACCAGTTTGCAGAATTAGAAATGACTAAAATCTTGAAACAAGATGCTTCTTCAAAATTTGAACAAAGAAAAGTTAGATTAGAGAAAGTTAAAAACTTGCAGTTCCTTATACGGGAATGTGGTCATGTAAATGCTGACTTGTTATTTATACTAATGCAGAGGGAGTGGTTCCATCTTATAGATGTGTCAGAATTTGTGGCTGATACGTATCATTACATGACCTCAGAATATTCATTATCTTCTACACGATGTGTTAGTAACTAAAGCTAAAATTAGGAAGTATTTTCAGAGACTATTGTTTATTTTGTTGTAACTAAAAGCTTCTTCTTATCCTGTATAGGAAAGTATGCAACAACAACAGGAAGAATATTCTATGCTTGTGTCATCTTGCCCAGACACGCATAATTCATTTGTCAAGCTTTTAGTTTCTATTTTGTGTAATGGTGATAATACACAGCAATTAAATTCCGCGTTAGATAAGTACAATGAACTTATAAACGAAAACAAAGTAAAAAAGCAATTCATATTGGAAACAGACATACAGTCCAAAATCGATGAGCTGGAAATGTTGTAAGTATTATATTTTTAACGGTAGAAATATAATGTAATAGTTGTTGTAGATATTATTATTTTACTGTTCAGAGAAAGTGAAGTAAATTTGCAATATACAAGTGAAATTCAAAAGGGGGCAACATACAGTTTCAAACCAGTTTCCTATGAAATTGAAACTTACTACCAGGAAGCTTGTGATCATTTACAAAATATACAAATAGATTTAACTAAAATAAGAAGTCAAATAAAAGAACAAATGGTAAATTTATATATATTATTATATATTAACGATATAATGGTATTATTTTTATTAAAATAAGAAATATTCTTTCTTACAGAACACAGGTTTTGAACGTGACAGACATTTAGTATGGCAACGATTTTTAGTTGATCCAGTTACGCTAAAACAAACACATAAAGAAGGCACGCAAATAACAAATAAATCATGTTTTCGAAATACATTTGAAGTTGAATAAATGCGACTTTTGCAAAGTAATATTAGATACATTAAAAGTAAGCGAAACGATCTAAGCTAATCACACACAAATAAAGGGAGGCGTGGCGAATGGGTAAACTGCATAGTATTGGAGTATCAAGAAACGTAATACATAAATAGACTGTTGAGTCATGGACAAATCCATGCACAGTTAGAAAACCTCCTACTATTAAATACTTGTCAAAAGAGGAGGAGCTTTGTATATATTACCGGCTAGCTGATTGCTCGCGGCGAGCTGATACGTATCCAATAAGGAATCCAGTTGCATAGAGCAGTCTACATATACATATGTGCTCTATGCAGGCGTTGAAATCACCTCAAATGAGTTACATATAACACACAACAATTTTATACAAAACTTATTTATTTGTCTCTATTAAAAATAGTAATAACAACTCATGTTTTTATTGAATTAAACAGAATATAATAATTTAAGGTGTATTAAACATTTTTTATAATACATACAATAAATTAAATTTTTATTGTAATAGGATGTTATAAATTCTGCGATGGCATCTAATTCTCGGAAATAAATACAAACTTTGCCATGTAAAAATTAAACATTTAATCGTATATGACAAATTGTGTATTAAATTGCTTGATAGTTGCAACATTATGTACGACACAGATTAAACTATGTCAGCTGATTTCATCAAGATTGACCATGAAATGCGACGGAGGTCATTTTTCCTATTAAAGTTTCGAATTGGTGACTCACAACTTATTTAAAATCTCCTGAACAATTGATTGATTATTGTTAATTTCGTGAAAGTTTAATATTGATAAATATTATAAATTAATTTTATATATATATATATATATATATATATATATATATATATATATATATATATATGTGTGTAATATAATATAAGAAAATATAT